ACCACTACCACTACCACTGCCGCTACTTTTTAGTAGTCATGGAGTCATGGCCGCTGTCTGTATCCCAGCCCCAGTCGTCTCAGTCATCGTCGTATTGGTCTCAGTCTTGGGGTGCGCCGGCTTGGGTTTTGTTGCACCTGGTCCCCAGAGGCTCTGCCAGGAGGAGCTGGAGGATTTGCGCATCTCTGCTCAGGAGGAGCAGGATGAGGCCGGAGGGAGGGGGCAATAGGGTTGAATAGGGTTAGAGAGCTTTCTTCGAAGCGGAGCAGACGTATGCCGATGCCATGCTGGGCTTGAACGTTCGGGGGGTTTACATGAGGTCGGAGTCGTTGCAGCTGGATTGAGCGGTTGCCATCGGACCTTCCGCTATCCAGATGCAGAGCCTTAGAAGAGCGGATCATGTGGCTGATGTCAGGAGGAGTCGGCTGGGGCTCGCCTGATGGCTATGGGCCCAGCTTGAGAAAAGAGCGCTGCCATGGAAGGCATCGGCTCTTGCCTTGATGCTGGGATGTCGTGGGCGAGTTATTTGGGGATGAAGCACCAACAGGACGTGTCCTTCCACCAGGAAGTCTCATGCATGTTTTCCGGTGAGTTAGAATTTGAGGCGAAAAGACTCCGAACCTCTTCGATTCCAGATGATGAGGAGGCGGGTGATTCGCTTCCAGGTCCTCTACGGTTTGTCCGAATCCAATTCTCCTAGCAGAATTCCTGCGTGTTGAAGCCGTATATCAGGTTGAGAAGAAGGTCAAGGAAAGGGCACAGGAAGAGGGAGAGTGTGTGAGCAGAAGCGACTGCTGCAGGGCCTGGTGCAGGAGCTCGTCAAGTCAGAGGCTGCGGAGGCTGAAGAGGTGCTCTGCCTTTGTCAGCACTGCGTTGGGCTCGAGTCCCTCGATGTTTTTAATTAGGGCCCCGACATCAAACCGCCAGATTCGGTTGAGAGATGGCTTTTCGCTTCCCCCAAACGGACACGGACTTCGCCTGCACTGTAAACTCAACTATTGGTTTTGGCCCACTTCCAAAACATGCACTTGCCAGATCGCTCGCTTGGAGCGGCTGGCCGCCTTTGAGGCAGACCTGGGCCTACCAAGGACGGTGCGGCTTTCGGGATTACGGGGCTGGTGACCGTAAGACCGATGTGCGATGCCCGCCCGCTCAAAGTGCGAGGATTCAGTTCTTCGAGCGTGACGGACTGATCCTCCTGAGCAGGCGAAGTCGTGCAGATCAACTTGCGGACTGGATGTAGTCACACAACAATAAGAAGGGGGACAAGGAAGGACACGCAGGTCCAACAATTGTAGCTTTTTCTGGCTTAGGCCTCAGCTCCACAGCCTTGAGTCGGCTTCGAGGCTTTCAGCTTCCCTGAGTCTGAGGGTTCCAAGCTTGATGCTAGGGCCGTCGGAAGCGAAGCTCCAGATTGTGCCATAGAGCAGTCTGCAGTCATGCCCTCTCACGGACTGCGGGTTCGTTCGGTATCTCTGGCAGGGCCGGCGCGTTGCCGTCGGAAGGCTCGTCCTCGCACATCAGTGCGAAGGCCGTGCTGCAGCATTGTCTGGATGTCGTGCTTCCCTCCCAAGAGTTAGTTTATGATAGTTTCTTGCCAAAGTGTCAGAGGCGCAGTGGGATGCCACCGGGCGGCTGCTGTGCATCGAGCCACCGCCGTCGCCTGCGGCTAAGGCACTGCTTGGTATCCATTCCACCGGATGGAAGTAGAATGAACAATAGGACTGGCCCCGCGCAATGCTCTGAGTTTCCTTACATGTCTTATGGACTTGGCTTTGGGCCTGACCTACCTTTCGAATCTTTGCTTCTCTGAGTGCTTTTGGCCGAGGCTTTGTCTGCAGTTTGAAGCCGCGTCTGCAGTGGCTTCAGGGGACCTCGGGCGCCTGCCGCAGCCTCGGCTTTCACTGCTGGGCAGTCCGCAGCAGAGAACAAAAGAACAAAGCGTCGCAGCGTCCTCTAGTCGGTCCACTATCAGGCTGGCCTTGATGTGGGATCGAGCATCCCAGTGCCGGCAAGGCCTTGCCCTCTGGTGCCACACACCAGCTCATGCTCAGTGTATGTGAAGGTTCTTGTGCTAGTGCAGCCAGAAGTTGCCAATGACCTGAAAGAAACGATGAATTCTCGTAGTTATCTGTGAGAGCATCCGTTGAGCTGAGTGTAGCCTGGCTGTGTGAGGTCAGCTCGAAGATGTGGCTCCGTCGTGCTGACGCCAAATGCCCTGCGATCAGAGTGATTCCCAGCGAAGTGCGGAGCTTGCACCTAATTGAAATCACCGACCTGCTGTGTTTGTCCTTGTACCGTTGCGTGTGGCAACACATCAACCGAGTGCCCTGCTGAGCAGCAGTCTCGGGCAAGTGCAAGTGTACTAAGACGTTGGAGTTGGATTTGGCTTGCTCAAGGGCCCTGGTCGTATTCTTGCATGAAATGGGAGCGTGCCTTGCATGATCCGACAGGCACGGAATTCGCAAGGAAGCTGTCTCGAGTGATCCAAATAGTTCGGATCGCAACGTCACTCCTGCCAGATGGCTGTGCGGCACCAGTCTCACGATTTAGACACAACTCGAGCTGCACAGCCTGTGACGGGGCAATGGGTCAACCTGAAGCTCAGTGCATCTTCGACCAGAGCGGATCCGTCATTCCTTTTCAAGGCTCAACCATTGCCTGCTAGTGAAGCGGAAGTGACATCAGGCCAGTGACAAACATGGGCCCTTCTTGCTTGGAGCGGCCACTGCTCCAAACATGTTGAGCATGGGCCGGTATCGTGAGTTCGTCCAGCTTCTTTGGACACCATCATCAGCTGCAACTGCCGGGTATGGCTTGGAAAAGCCAACATGCATGTTGTGGTCTCGCTGCAACCGACCCGACGAAGACCGCGTTGACCACTGCACCGTCACTAACCATCAGAAGCATATAATGGTATATTATAGAGTATATTACAGTATATTGTAGCATTATATATGTTTATTCTAGTGATTCTAGTATGTTAAAGTCTATCAGTGTCAGAGCGCTCGACTCCTGCTCGACAGGACTGGAGTGCCGCAAATCCCGAGGCGAATTTCAAGAAGGCGCTGGTACCAGCATAGAGGGCTCTTGTCAACAAGCAATTTTTGTCCTTCTCAGCGTGTTTTTCACTGAATCTTGGGAAGATGGCGAAAGGTGGTAGGCCTTGCTCCCTTTGCCCTTGGGGCCTTTCTATCAAACCAGCGGGTCATGCCTCATGAGCAGACAGCGCCTCAGTCGCTCGAATGCTGGCCATGCAAACTCTGTTTCGCAACAGAGGCTGAGGGAAGAGGCTTCTTCCAGCTGAAATGCGACACCCAGCCCAAAGACCAGGCCGAGTGGGTGACAGAGAGTTTGCAGTGTGCGCTTTGGCAAGCACTGCGTCAGTAGCCCTTGCACACCTGTGTTTGCCATGCTCGCTGGAGTTGCCATGAACCGGTGTTGATTGGTGGCTCGTCAGCTTTTCTTTTCATAAGCCTGACACTTCCGCACATGATTGACAGAACCATCTTTGCGCTAGAAATGTTGCGTGCGCAGCAGTGGCCAGAAGCAGCGAACCGAGGGGTTAGGCCAGGCAGCACGGGCAACAGGTTTCAACAGCCTTGCTTGCATCCGAGCTTCCAAGATGCTAACAAGATCTTTCCTAACAACCTTTGGACAAAATTCAAGATCCCATGGGCCATCGAAACTTAAGCTCGTTGTAGACTGAGTTGTTGTAGATCCACCGCAGACTTTTTCCGTGTGCCCCTTGGTCACGGACGACTGCCATGCGGAGATAATGCGCGTCATCTTCCTGGACATTGACGGTGTTCTAGTCACCCGCCGTCCATGTATCATGGAAGAGAGCCTCTGCTCAACAGCTTTTGCTTTCAGCTCTGTTCAGCCGCGCAGAATTTGCAGCAGCCACCTTCATAGCAAAAGAGGTTGATTAGCCTGCGAAGTCCTGAAGGTCCTGCAGGCCCAGAGTTTGCGGCTCGAAGTCTCCTGACTAAGTCTGCTCGCGACCTCCGCTCTAATCCATGAGAGCTCTATTAGCAGTGCTGTTGCGCTTAGGAAGCTTTTGCAAAACCTTGCTCGCGCGGCAAGCTCAGCAACACAGGGAGGTGTTCCGATGGCTTGACTGATAAACGCTATGGCTTCTTCCCTTGCTGAAGGTGATCATGATAAAAGGCTCAGTCGTCACTGCGGATCTAAGCCGTAAGCCGGAATCTGCCATGCACCTGCCTGCCACAAAGATGAGAAGTGAGGCTGCCCAGCTAATGCGGAAAGCGTCCAATGAATCTGCCATGTCTTTGTCTTGGCTCGCGAGGTAGTGCGAGAGAGTGGTGCCAAGATTGTCCTCTCCAGTGACTGGCGTGGAGGGCCCAGGATTCATCAGCGTTAGGATGCCCTCTAACCGGTGTTACGAACTATGTGCTTCTGCATGTATGTATGTATGTATGTATGTATGTATGTATGTGTATATATATATGTATACATACATACATACATACATACATATTACATATATGTAGAAAATTCAAGAAGCATGTAGGTAGGTACGCGGTCAGGTAGACACCCATGCCCAATGTACTCATGCATATGCTGGCATGTGTATACATTTATACAAAGACTAATACAAATACAAACACAAACACAAAGACAAACACATATACATATACAGACATACAATATACATATCCTTTTTTGCATTTGGGGCGATTTTAATCAGCTCCAGACCGAGGGTGCAGTTGTCACAGCCCTCGCCAGTGGTGCCATCCGGTCCTTAGACGACTGCGACCCTAAAGCTGCTCCTACTGGACCCCGCCGACGGCGTCGTATCGACTACGGCCTTGCCCACCACCGACTTTGGGCAAGTACCACGTCGAACCACGAGTGGCCCGACATCTCTAACCATGCTCTGGTCAGTTACGATGTCTCTGCTGCCGAAGGATTTGTGGCTAGGACGTTTGGTGCGCCCAGATTTGCTCCGCTGCCGGTGGAGGACTCTGAGCGGATTGAGTTTAACTTTGCCAAGCACTGGGTGGAGCACGATTTTGTGACGGCCATCCAGACCAACGATGTCGATGCGGCTTGGGCGCTGTTATCCGGTGCAGGCGAGGCCGCACTCGGGGCTGGCGGTGGCGCCAGCTGTACTCCTCGGAGTTCGTGCTGGGACCCCGTTTTGCTCACGGGTCCTCAGGGCAGAGTGGGAGTGCATGGACACGAGTCACGACATCTTCGTCTCCTCCGGCGACTGCGCGGTCAGCTTCACCAACTTCGAGCTCAGCCCCACTGCCTCGCTCGACGGCGTCGGGCGTCGCATTCGATTGCTGCGCTTCGAGAGTTTAGCCCGGGCCTGCCTTTCGTGGACCTCCAGCAGCACGACGCTAATGTTGCTTGGATCGACGACCTCTACGACCACCAGGCCGGTATTGAGAGGAACGAGCGAATTCGACACTGGAAGGAACACACCGCTGCTTCGAGGAAGCAAACCTTCTCGTGGATCAAACGCTCGGCCAATGTAGCCAGCCGATGCCCTGTGTGGACACGCCTGGTACGGTTCACCCTGCTAGGCTGCTGGAGCAGCAGAGCGAGGCTTGGCGAACAAGATGGGCTCCTCCACAGCGACCTTGCAATTTGGAGGACTTGGACGGCATTCTTGCCTCGCTCCCTGCTCGGGAGGCACACACCTCCCAAGTCACCTTCACGGCCGGCAACCTGACTAAGGCGGCGAAAGGCATGGTCGGCAAGTCGCCCGGCCCTGATCGATGGTCTTCGGAGCTGCTTTTGAGGCTGCCCCAGCAGTGGTGGTCTGCGCTAGCCACCCTTTGGCAGCACCTGTGGAGCTCTGGTTGCATCCCCAAGGTGTGGCGGCGTTCACTCGTGGTCTTGCTGGAGAAGCCCAACCACGAGACGAGGCCGATAGCTCTTTGCAGCATCCTGTGGCGCATTGGAGCGCGAACGATAAACCGACAACTCCGTGACTGGCTGGAGTCTTGGCTTGGACACGAAGCCCTAGGTGCTGCTCCGGGCCGTGGCCCCCAAGATGTTCATGCACGCATTTTGACCGCCAGGGCGGCTGGCATCCGGCACTTTGTGAAGCAGGACATCTCGGCCTTTTTCGATTCGATTCAGGTTCCGGCGCTATGCCGGCTCATGCAGCGGCTTGGGGCGCCTCCTCAGCTCGGCCAGCTCATTTCAGGTTTTTACAAGACCTCCTTGAGGCTTTTCAAGCACGATCGTTACTTCGCACCGGCCTGGGATCAAGCGGGAAGGGGCATTATGCAGGGCTGTCCGCTGAGTCCCACGCTGGCTCTTATGATTTCCCACGCTTGGGCTGCTTACTGCCTCTCCACTGACTGTCGAGGATTGATGTTCATCGACGACCGAGTTCTTTGGCCCCGACCCGGCGCGGCGCACACCGAGGCCTCTTTGCGGCTTGCTTTGCAGAAAAGTGCACATTTTGACTCCGTGTGGGACCTCACCTGCAAGCCCTCGAAATGCGCCGTGGTTCAGCCCGGGGACTCTACTGAGCTGGACCGACTGGTGACTTCTTTTCACTACGAACAGGCCGTGGAGTTGGAGTTCTTGGGCATTGTCTTCTCGGTGCAAGATTCCTCGACTTCGCTGTTGAAGTACAATGCTCGGCTGCTGCAGCTTAGGATGCGGTACCTTCGCATGATGGATTTGCCCCTCAACTCCACCCTTCTTGCTATCCAAGCCCTTGTCTTCTCTTCGGCAACTTGGGCTTCAGGGGTGGCGCTGCCGGATGGAACCCAGCTTAAGGACCTCAAATCGGCTATTTCTACCACGCTGCAGAAGTCATTCACCTACGATGCCCCGCAGGTGCTGATCCATGCTGCCTTTGGTTTTCAGTGGGATCCCGCCTGGCTGTTGGCCTGGCGATCTTTGCAGACTGCTGTTCGAGCTTGCAACCGCCCTGGGCTCTGGCGCGACACTGCTGCCCTCGATGAGGCAGTCGCTCCCTGGTTCGTTGCCACTCCGATGGCTTTGGATACAGTCCGCGACCTTGGCTGGCGCCTTTCCCCGGATGGCAAGCAGATCTGGCGGCAGGATGATTCTGGTCAAGTCCGCCATTTTTGGTTCGGTTTTGACTCTCCTAGGGTTCTTAAACATTGGCTCACCGAGAAATTTCAGAAGAGGCAGGTTCGCTCTTGCGGTCGGATCCGCAGGAATTATCACCGGCAAGGTGATGACATCGCCA